ATGTGATGGATGGCAGACAACTTGTTTTATGCTTAAGGTAATTATAATTAAATTGGCAGAAGAATTTGAACCCGCCTGAATGACAAATAAAGAGCATTATTTTGTTGTTTTATCATGCAGGATTTAGTCGTAGGAGTGACAGGTAATAGCAATTTTTCCTTTCAATAAAATAAGTGAATGAGGCTATGCGTATAAAAAAGAAATAAAAAGGGGATTTGTGAGAGGAGTGCCAAATGAAAATTACTAAAAGACGAATACTGAGCCAAACGATATACGCCCAAGTTAGAAGAAGAGCACAAGCACGAGGATACATCTATGCACTCACGAATATAATAGCAAATGCAACGGTACACACATGCACACATGCAGACGTGCATATACACGCAAACACATACACAAGGTGTGTTTCTCTAGGCCTTCCTGCCAATATGACAAGGTTGCGAGAACAAGGTCAAACAACTTTTATACAACGAAAGAAGACTGCGACCATACAAAAGGCCAAACGATCCTGTTCTTCATATCTTCGATTAAACATATGCGTTTAGTTTTCGTTTATAAGTAGGTTTTCGCTACTACCAGTAGATCATTTATATAGGAAGTGTATTCACCTTAAACGAAATAGAATGAACGCCTTATTCACAACCCCACGGTATCAAAACAAAATGCTTTTTCTAAGAGTTTTGCTTCAAAATTGCTTTCTTTTCCTCTACATAATGCCAATGCTTGACTGAATATCGTCCGTCACATTCAATAGATAGCAGACATGCAGGCTAATATGCATGATGTACACGAGCTTAAGATAAGGGTTAATATGTAAAGATAAATTATTTGTGGCTAAAATTAATCATGGTATGTAAAAAGCGCAGCATATGCCAGCTTACTTAGTGCATTGTATAAGCTCCGTTAATGTAACAACGGCGTAGATACTTACCCTTGACGCGAAGGTAGAGATAGTCTTGTGTAGTCCCAAATTCGTTGCTGACATGGCAAGAGTAGAGAGCCCGATCTGCCTGTTCCACTAGATCAATCATTAGAGTATCCATGCTGAATGTGGTGTTTTCGAATCGAATCCGACCGTGCAGAGGCTTAGAGCCGATGTAAAGCTTGCCTTGTTCCATCTTGATTGACAGGTTATCCTTGCGCCAATCAAAACGCAGATTTCCCAAAGGATAGACAATCACACGACAATGGAATCGGAATTGAGAATAGGCTTGATAGGCGAAGACCCGCGACTTCTTCTCAACGGCGTTGATGACAGGAGGGACTGGAGCCATATCAAATAGGTAAATTAATGATAAAAAATAAATAAGATAAAGCTTTTTTAAAGGCGATTTTTATGTGAATTAATTTGGGCGTGGAGGGAAGAATATAAAATAAATAGTTAGTCAGCCTCAAGACTCATTGGAGAATGGGAACGTGGCTTTGAACCTTTTATTTGAGAACTACAAGACTCAGATATTAGAGAGATTTGTATAACTCAAACAAAAATGTCGTAACAGTAATGTGCCCCAATGATATACTAAGAAACGATATCCCAATAAGAAAACAAAAATAGTTACAAGCTCAGCAAATAAAATACTAATAGGTATTGGTGAATGGTAGTGAAATTATGTAAGCATAATATTGATAACTAAAATAAAAATCGTATTTCAAGCAAGCTTTATCAGAGCAAAGAATAAATAAGA